TTTACCAAACGCAATGCTATTTTACTTAACGGAATGTACAAAACGGACTTTGCTGCAACTGGGAATGGGGACAAACATGTCTTGGTGAGCTTTTGATATTGTCTTGTTTGCGATCTTCTTGCAAAACTCAGCGTGATGTAAAAGAGCCAATCAATGAGTCATGGTGCGAAAAGATGAAAGTGGCCGGTGCTTGTGCGTACTTTGCCATAAAAAATTGCATGTATGGGAGTAATGAGAAAAAAGTTTTGATTCGCCACCAGCTCAAAACTGCGCACAAGGCAGCTGTTTGTGCACTTTCCCACACTTCATCTTTACCTGGTGCATCAGCAACAACTAACACTAGGCTTGCTATGGCAGACCGTGTCTGTGGCTTTATCGCAGAAAATAACGTTCAGAATATCACTACCGCTGGTAGATTTATTTAAATCATTTGCAGTTGATCGAAGTGCACTGTGCACTCAAACTTGATAGGGAAACCTTTTTCTTAAATATTGACGTGTCCACAAACAAATGTGGACAGAATTTTATCATCCTTTTGCAATATTTTGACGAGGACAGAGCCAAAGTGTTGACGCTCCATATTGCCTCAAGTAAAGCTACTCTCACTAATATTCTGTCAAAAAGTTTACTCGTTGCTTGATCCACTTATATTTCATATCAAACTACACTGTATATCTTTGAAGAATTCATTTGAGCGGTATTCAATATACAATCTATATACAATAATATATTGTAATTACAAATATAACTTGGTCCTGCATATTACTGTGATTTACATGTGATACATTTCCATGCAAAAATTTTCAGTCAAATCTTTTTTTTTTGCTTTAACCCCTGGTCTAAGCAGAAACGCCCAGATTTCCCTATCCACACGCACTTCCTCCAGCTCGTCCGGGAGGACCCCAAGGCGTTCCCAGGCCAGCTGAGAGACATAGTCCCTCCAGCATGTTCATGACCATAGGTGAGGTAGAGAACAAAGATTGACCGCTAAATTCGAGAGCTTTGCCTTTCGGCTCAGCTCCCTCTTTACCACAACGGTCCGATACAGCGACCGCATCAATGCGCACGCTGCACCGATCCGCCTGTCAATCTCACGATCCATCCTTCCCTCACTCTTGAACGAAACCCCGAGATACTTGAACAAGAACATCTCCACCCACTTGGAGAGGGCACGGCACCTTTTTCCGGTCGAGCACCATGGCCTCGGATTTGGAGGTGCTGATTCTCATCTCAGCCGCTTCACACTCAGCTGCAAACCGTCCCAGTGCATGTTGCAGGTCTTGTTTCGTTGGAGCCAACAGGACAACATTGTCCGCAAACAGCAAAGATTAAATCCTGTGGTCTCCGAACCGGACCCCCTCCGACCCCTGGCTGCGCCTAGAAATTCTATCCATAAAAACAGACGACAGAACCGGTAACAAAGGGCAGCCCTGGCGGAGGCCAACATGCACCGCAAACAGGTCTGACTTACTGCCGGCAATTTTAACGCAGCTCTGGCTCCGGTCATACAGGGACCGGACGGCCCTCAGCAGAGGACCCCGGACCCCGTACTCCCGGAGAACCCCCCAATGGACACCCCGGGGAACACGGTTGAACGCCTTCTCCAAATCCATAAAGCACATTTGGACCGGTTGGGCAAACTCCCACGAGTATCCGATGGAAAGTATAGAGCTGATCCTGTGTTCCGCGGCTGGGACGAAAACCACACTGCTCCTCCTGAATCCGAGATTTGACCATCGGTCGTAGTCTCCTCTCCAGTACCTTGGAGTAGACCTTACCAGGGAGGCTGAGGAGTGTGATCCCATAATAATCGGAACACACCCTCTGGCATGGCGCCGTAAAGATGGCGCCGTGGCAAGAGCTCTGGTGTGTGTCGTCTGGTGCACACTGGGGTAGTCTTGCACAGTTTTTCCAATGTGGTTTTACTGCAAATGGCAAATAAATGAATCTGAATCTGAATCTGGTCCGGTCCCCCTTTTTGTAGAGAGGGACCACCACCCCGGTCTGCCACTCCATTGGTACCGCCCCCGATCGCCACGCGATGTTGCAGAGACGTGTCCTATAACATCCAAGACAGTCCTACAACATCCAGAGACTTTAGATAGTCAGGATGGTTCTCAAACTGGTCTCTCTAGCATGGAAAAAGGAGTACCACAGGGCTCAACCCTTGGACCTCTTTTATTTTCTATCTTCATCAATGACCTACCAAGTGTGTAGTCATTGCCAGACTCATCTATATGCTGATGTCGTCTGTCAGGTGCAAACTTACCACAACTGCAAATGAATCTACAAGAGGACTTTTATTTTACCACACAGTTCTAATGAATGTATTCTTTATTGGAACCAAAATAATGGTTGTGAACCACAGAAACCACCAACACTGGGAAAAACGATATAAAAGAGAAAAATGGGATTTCTTAAGGGAAATTGTACTTCTTTTTTGCATACATATGCTTATAACCAATTGCTTTCATATATAATTGAACTTGTAATCACTTTTTGTTCATGCAAATATACTAATTAGAATACTATTTGACCAAAACAGATATCAGACGCCATTATTTCTGGTCTAGGTGAAATACAAAGGAGTAATGGTCAATTTAAGGACCTGATGGCCGCCATTTTGAAAATAAGGCCTTTTTAGGAGTCAAACTTTGGTAAACTTTTAATATGTTTTTAAGTTCATCTGATACTACTGTAAACCACTGAGAAACCTTTTGTTAGAATTTTTTTGGTGTCAAACCATATTTGCAGCTGACTACTATGTGTCTGTGTGTGTATGTATGTGTGTATGTATGTATGTATATGTATATGTGTATGTATGTGTGTATGTTTGTGTGTGTATGATCCCACACGGTCAATTCCTGTGAGTCCCCAGACCTCAGGTTGAGAAGCAGTGGCTGTGTCTCCGGCCTCCTCTGGTTTGCACTGCTGGCTCTTTGTGATGCTAATGCTCCATCACTGCTCTTCACACGGAGGGTGGCTCCTTACTGGAAGCTTTCTTTGTGAGGCCCTTGGTCCCCCGCTCTGCTCTGGGGGCCCCCGCTCTGCTCTAGGGGCCTGTACAGTATGAGGAGGTGGCTGCTCCCTCTGCTCCCACTGCACACGGCGACATGTGCCTGGGATTAGAAGCATTTCAGTCTGGATTAAAGCAGAGGCAGCCGAGGCAGCCGCGGCCACGGTCCCACTGAGCCGGTACGTACTCACTTTCTACACTTTATCACAACCTTAGTTTAGTCAGAGCTCGACTGTAGATCTGCATCGACACAGGACCAGGACACTCCACATTCAGCAACATTACAACCTTTGGTCCCTGCCCCTTATGGACCAACGTGTTTCCTGTTTTAATTCTTGTGTTTGAAGCAGAAGAAGAAGTGGGGACTTAGATGAATATACATACACACATTAAGGCATATAGCGAACTGTTACTTCCACACTCCTTATGGGAAAACTGGGGTAAGGTGTGTTGCCCATGGACACAATCACAGCAGACAGCAGTGGGAGTTGGTGGAGAAGGTCTCGTGGTGGGCCCTGATTCTCTGATCTGTGTTGGCGAATCCAACGATTGTGTAAACTCCTCAGAGATAACCACTGTTGTGATTTTAGGTACAATATTGAGTTGTATTGAAACGCAGTCAAAGATCAGATCCAGGACAGCGCCTTCTGCTGGTGCACGTTACAGTCTGTGGGACTAACTTAGGGAGAAGTTTAGTTTCAGATCTGCCACATTCTGCATCTACACAGAGAGGTTCCAGGACACTCCAAATTCAACTTTTATCAACAATTATATTCTGTGTTGGCGAAGGGACAACTTTGTTACTGTCATTAGAGCAGACTTTGGTCTTTTAGTCCTCGAATCATGTTCAAAAGATTATGTTTTAGTGGATGGAGAGGCAGGAGGATGGAGAGAGACAGGTGGATGGTGATGGTAGTCCATGGTCCTGCAGTGAGGTAGTCCATGGTCTAAATGTATTAAACAGGGCAACAGTGGCTCAGTTGGTAGAGGGTTCGAGCCCACCTCAAGTCTTTCTCCATCGCCTCCCACTGTCTGCTGTCGTTGTGTCCTTAGGCAAGACACTTAACCTCTGGGAACACCAGCCACAGAGGGGCGGCTGCGGCTGTAAAGTGCCAAACTGCCGTTGTGTCCTTAGGCAAGACACTTCACCCCCATTGGCTAGAATGAGTCTGGTGTGTGTGTGAATGGTTGGTGGTGGTCGGAGGGGCCGATGGCACATACTGGTTGCCTCGCTTCTGTCAGTATGCCCCAGGGCAGCTGTGGCTACAGTAGTAGTTTATCACCACCGTGTTTGGAGAGAAAGAATAATTACATGTGAAGCGTCTTTGAGTGTCCAAAAAGTGCTACATAAAACTGATGCATTATTATTATTATAGATTAAAAAAAACAAAAGTATCAAATCTCGCTGGTTTTATTGTTAGTGCTTGAGAGTCAAAACAGTGCTGCATAAAACTGATGCATCATTGTAATTAAGTTATGGTTTTTTCTCCTCTCCCTCTTGCCCCGCTCCTCTCTCTTCCTCTCCTCTCTCCCTCTCCTCTTTTCTCCTCCCCCTCCTTCTTCTCTACTCTCTCTCCCCCGTCTCTTTTCTCCCTCTCCCCCTCTCCTCTCTTCTCCTCTCCCTCTCCTTTTTTACTCCAATCCCCCCTCTCCCTCTCCTCTCTCCCTCTCCTCCCCCCTCTCTTCTTTCTCTCTCCTCTCTCAATCCCCCCTCTCTCTCTCTCTCCCTCTCCTCTTCTCTCCTCTCTCTTTCCCTCCCTCTTCACTCCTCTCTTCCTCTCCCCCTCTCCTCTTCCTCTCTCCTCTCTCTTCTTTTTTCCCCCCCTCCTCTCCTCTCTCCCTCTCCTCTTCCTCTCCTCACCTCTTCCTCTCTCCTCTCCTCTCTTCCTCCCCCCCGCTCCTCTTCCTCTCTCCTCTCTCTCCTTGCTCCCTCCCTTCCTCTCCTCTCTTCCTCTCCCCCCTGTCTTCTCTCCTCAGCTCCAGGATGTTCCAACTGCTCCAGGGCCACCTCCACAAGTCCAGACGTCGCGTCCACAAACCCTCTCGCCTCGTGTCCAAAGATGGCCGCTGTAACATCGAGTTCGACCATGGCGCCCGCCTGGCGTTCCTGGGCGACATGTGGACCACAGTGGTCGAGATCCGCTGGAGATTTGTCCTCCTCCTCTTCGTCACCTCCTTCACAGGAAGCTGGTTCGTCTTCAGCCTCCTATGGTACTGGATTGCAAAGACCAACGGAGACCTGGCGGGCCAGAACCGGACGAGCGAGCATGTGACGTGCATAGACAACGTGAACGGACTGACCACGGCGTTCCTCTACTCCCTGGAGACGCAGACCACCATCGGGTACGGCGGCCGCGCTCTGACCGGTCACTGCGCCGGCACTGTGGCCCTGATCATGGTCCAATCTCTGCTCGGAGTCTTCATCAACTGCTTCATGTGCGGCGTGATCTTGGCCAAAATCTCGCTGCCGAAGAAGCGAGCGAAGACAGTGACGTTCAGCAACACCGCCGCCATCTGCCTGAAGAACGGGCGGCTATGTCTTCTGATCCGCGTGGCCAACCTCCGCAAGACCCTACTGATCGGGAGTCACATCTACGGCAAGCTGGTCAGGACCTCCGCCCCGGCCGACGGAGAGGCCACGCTCCTGGACCAGGTGGATGTGGGATTCACGGTGGACGCGGGGAAGGATAACCTGTTCTTCATCTGCCCCCTGACGCTGTGCCACGTGATTGACAGGTCCAGTCCGTTCTTCGAGCTGTCGTGCGAGAGCCTCCCGCAGCAGGACTTTGAGCTGGTGGTGTTTCTGGACGGAACCGCGGAGTCCACCAGCTCCTCCTGCCAGGTCCGGACCTCCTACGTCCCTCAGGAGATCCAGTGGGGCCACACCTTCTTGCCCATTGTCTCCAAGACCAAAACGGGAAAGTACAGCGTGGACTTTTCCAACTTCTCCAGGAGCATCCCGGTGACCACGCCCCACTGCGCCCTGTGCTTCTCTGCAGACGTGGAGCAGAGCAACGGCCACTGCCCTCAGCGACAGAACCAGGACAACAGCATCCGGCAGGGCATCGACAACCTGGGCTTCCAGATGATCCGGGAGGACGGGACCCACGAGGACTGGACCCACGAGGACCGGACCCAAGAGGACGGGACCCAGGAGGACGGGACCCAGGAGGACGGGACCCAGGAGGACGGGACCCAGGAGGACGGGACCCAGGAGGACGGGACCCAGGAGGACTGGACCCAGGAGGACGGAACCCAGGAGGACGGAACCCAGGAGGACGGAACCCAGGAGGACGGAACCCAGGAGGACGGAACCCAGGAGGACGGAACCCAGGAGGACGGAACCCAGGAGGACGGAACCCAGGAGGACGGGACCCAGGAGGACAGGACCCAGGAGGACATAGAGGCAGCTCACGCAAAAAACATGTGACGACACACAGCTGTTCTCAGGCTCAACCCGAGACATGACTTTGGCTCCTGTGGACATGACTCTGGCTCCTGTGGACTCTGGCTCCTGTGGACATGACTTTGGCTCCTGTGGACATGACTCTGGCTCCTGTGGACATGACTCCGGCTCCTGTGGACATGACTTTGGGTCCTGTGGACATAACTCCGGCTCCTGTGGACATGACTCCGGCTCCTGTGGACATGACTCCGGCTCCTGTGGACATGACTTTGGCTCCTGTGGACATAACTCCGGCTCCTGTGGACATGACTCCGGCTCCTGTGGACATGACTCTGGCTTCTGTGGACTCTGGCTCCTGTAGACATGTCTCTGGCTCCTGTGGACATGACTCTGGCTCCTGTGGACATGACTTTGGCTCCTGTGGACATGACTCTGGCTCCTGTGGACATGACTTTCATTAAAGCCAAAAATAGACTTTTAAAGATTTTTGTGTATTTCACAAAATAAATGCATTTTCATGTTTCCAACTGTTCAATTTTAATTCAATGTAATGTTTTTTGTATCGCCCTAAATCACAGCAGTATTTACTGTACCTCTGAGGACTTTACAGAACTGTTGATTCTCCAACAACAGATCAGAAAATCAGCTCAAAGACAGGAAATGCAACGATAACAAACACAGAGACTTTGGTCCATGAGGAGCAGAGACCACCACCATTCTGCTGCAATGCACAGCACTTTATAGTGTTCAAGGCTAGAGGACACAGAGGACAGGGCCCTCAGAGGACAGGGGCCTCAGAGGACAGGGGCCTCAGAGGACACAGAGGACAGGGGTCTCAGACGACAGGTACCTCAGAGGACACAGAGGACAGGGGCCTCAGAGGACAGGGGCCTCCGGCTTCGATGATCCTGTGTCAACTGCAGAGACCAAACTGCTTTTATTCACCACAGATCTGGCAGCGCACATGAGACTCATGTGAGGCTCATTCTGCTCTGATTGAATAATAGGAAACACATGTTATTATAAATATGACCATCACAAAGTTATTCGTTTATTAGTTTATTAAAGACAGAATAGAATGTCCTGAGCCCTGACAGCGCCCCCTACAGCTACTTTACAGTATTGTCCTGGTGCATGCTGGGACGCAGCAGATTAACTCTGAGCCACTTCTAATGAAACTGTTCCACTGCTATACTTCAAAGAGAGACTCTGTATACTCCCTCCACCTCTTTCTCCACCTCCTCCTCCTCTTCCTTCACCTCCTCCTCCACCTCCACCTTTACCTCATCTTTCACCTCATTCACCTCCTCCATCACCTCATCTTTCACCTCCTCCCTTACCTACTCCTCCACCTCCTCCTTCATCTCCTCCTCTACCTCCTCCTTCACCGCCTCCTGGGTCTACAGCCTCAGTCCTGGGTCTACAGCTTCAGTCCTGGGTCTACAACCTCAGTCCTGGGTCTACAGCCTCAGTCCTGGGTCTACAGCCTCAGTCCTGGGTCTACAGTATCAGTCCTGGGTCTACAGCCTCAGTCCTGGGTCTACAGCCTCAGTCCTGGGTCTACAGCCTCAGTCCTGGGTCTACAGCCTCAGTCCTGGGTAGAACACATTACAGATTTGTATGTTACAGCCTTCCTCTTGTTTGCAGTAATATTATAATTATCAGCACATGAGCTCGTAGCTCCTGAATTCCTGTGTCAGTCGGACCTTTTGGGCTCACGTCCACATGGTATGGCCTCAGACTCGTCCTGGTCCTCTCACTTCTACATGGTGCCTCAGACTTGCCCTGGTCCTCTCACTTCCACATGGTGCCTCAGACTCGTCCTGGTCCCCTCACTTCCACATGGTGTCTCAGACTCGCCCTGGTCCTCTTGCTTCCACATGGTACCTCAGAGGACAGAGGTTAATGATTGCAGCAGTGTCAGTTCAGTTTCTTTCTGAGAAGTGAACTCTGACAAACTTCTGCTTTTGCGACACTCTGGGTTTTATGAAAAACAGAAGTTGCCGATTAATGAACCAAGATAAAATTTGTCAACAGCAACGACTTCTTTATTCTGCTCAAGTCTGAGATTTACAGTTTTTTCCTCTTGACAATGAGTGAAATTTGCAAAAAATCAGTACTTACAAAGTATTCGGCCCCCCTTTCAACATTTCGCCACATTTCAGGCTTCCAACATAAAGATATAAAAACATTTTTTTTTTGTCAAGACTCAACAAGTGGGACACAATCGTGAAGTGGAACGAAATTTATTGGATAATTTAAACTTTTTTAACAAATAAAAAACTGAAAAGTGGGGCATGCAATATTATTCGGCCCTCTTGCGCTAATACTTTGTAGCGCCACCTTTTGCTGCAATTACAGCTGCAAGTAGCTTGGGTTATGTCTCTATCTGTTTTGCACATCGAGAGACTGGAATTCTTGCCCATTCTTCCTTGCAAAACAGCTCGAGCTCAGTGAGGTTGGATGGAGAGCGTTTGTGAACAGCAGTCTTCAGCTCTTTCCACAGATTCTCGATTGGATTCAGGTCTGGACTTTGACTTGGCCATTCTAACACCTGGATACGTCTATTTGTGAACCATTCCATTGTAGATTTGGCTTTATGTTTTGGATCATTGTCCTGTTGGAAGATAAATCTCCGTCCCAGTCTCAGGTCTTTTGCAGACTCCAACAGGTTTTCTTCCAGAATGGTCTTGTATCTGGCTCCATCCATCTTCCCATCAATTTTAGCCATCTTCCCTGCTGAAGAAAAGCAGGCCCAAACCATGATGCTGCCACCACCATGTTTGACAGTGGGGATGGTGTGTTCAGGGTGATGAGCTGTGTTGCTTTTACGCCAAACATATCGTTTTGCATTGTGGCCAAAAAGTTCAATTTTGGTTTCATCTGACCAGAGCACCTTCTTCCACATGTTTGGTGTGTCTCCCAGGTGGCTTGTGTCAAACTTTAAACGAGACTTTTTATGGATATCTTTGAGAAATGGCTTCCTTCTTCCATAAAGGCCAGATTTGTGCAGTGCACGACTGATTGTTGTCCTATGGACAGACTCTCCCACCTCAGCTGTAGTTATCTGCAGTTCATCCAGAATGATCATGGGCCTCTTGGCTGCATCTCTGATCAGTCTTCTCCTTGTTTGAGATGAAAGTTTGGAGGGACGGCCGGGTCTTCGTAGATTTGCACTGGTCTGATACTCCTTCCATTTCAATATAATTGCTTGCACAGTGCTCCTTGAGATGTTTAAAGCTTGGGAAATCTTTTTGTATCCAAATCCGGCTTTAAACTCCACAACAGTATCTCGGACCTGCCTGGTGTGTTCCTTTGTCTTCATGGTTCTCTCTGCGCTTTAAACAGAACCCTGAGACTATCAAAGAGCAGGTGCATTTATACGGAGACTTGATTACACACAGGTGCATTCTATTTATCATCATCAGTCATTTAGGACAACATTGGATCATTCAAAGATCCTCACTGAACTTCTGGAGTGAGTTTGCTGCACTGAAAGTAAAGGGGCCGAATAATATTGCACGCCCCACTTTTCAGTTTTTTATTTGTTAAAAAAGTTTAAATTATCCAATACATTTCGTTCCACTTCACGATTGTGTCCCACTTGTTGTTGATTCATGAAAAAAATTAAAATTTTATATCTTTATGTTCGAAGCCTGAAATGTTGAAAGGTTCAAGGGGGTCGAATACTTTCGCAAGGCACTGTATATTGTACACTGTACTGTACATAGTACTGTATAATGTGACATCTCAATGTTACATTACTGTGTACAGTATACAGTACTGTACCATCTTAGTACTATGTACTTTATTGTATGTTTCGCAAAACTAAAATTTCAAAAGGAGCAAAAGCCGACTCACAATACAGTACATGTGATACAGTACTGTAAATACTGTAAATACAGTCTGCAGTAGAGAGTTACAGTACATGTGATACAGTACAGTACTGAAAATACTATAGATACAGTCTGCAGTAGAGAGTTACAGCGCATGTGATACAGTACTGTAAATACTGTAGGTACAGTCTAGCTTGTTTATTATGCTAAAGCTCGATTTTTTTACTTGCTTATTTATAATGCTAAAGTCCATAAAAAAATTGGGTCCAGTCAGAGCCCAGTAAAGAGTACAGCTGCCCTGTGTGTGTGTGTGTGTGTGTGTGTGTGGTGAGCGAGGTGGTCTTCAATAATGTCCCAAATGTCAGAGACAACGACAGCACGTGGACTGTCCTCAGCTGACACTCATAAACACACACGCAAACTGACAGACACACACACACACACACACACACACATTCTGCCTTGGTCATCCAGCGTTCAAAAGTCAGTCATCGGCTTCACATCAAACGTGTCTGTGTGTGTGTGTGTCGGATTGTGTGTGTCTGCGTGTGTGTGTGTTTGTCAGTTTGTGTGTGTCTGTGTGCATGTATGTGTGTGTCTGTGTGTATGTGTGAGAGTCTGTATGTGTGTGTGTCTGTGTGTCCGCGTGTGTGTGTGTGTCGGTTTGTGTGTGTCAGTTTGTGTGCGTGTGTGTCATTGTGTATGTATGTGCGTTTGTGTGTGTCTGTGTGCATGTGTGTGTGTCTGTATGTGTGTGCGTGTGTGTTTGTCTGTATGTGTGTATGCGTGTGTGTGTGTGTGTCGGTTTGTGTGTGTGTCTGTATGTGTGTGTCAGTTTGTGTATGTGTGTGTGTGTGTCAGTTTGTGTGTCTCTGTGTGTGTGTCTCTCTCTGTGTGTCTGTGCCCTGCCTACCCGCCTGGGAGCGCTTCAGTCCTGCAGCTGTATGCATTATTAAGATTTTGACTGTGGTCTGTTCATTGCTATTCACCCGTTGTTCCATTGTCTGTTTCATGGCGTGACGACGGGACCTCTGAGCCTGGCCTCCTCCATCTACACCTGCGGACTGCCCCGCCCGACCCGCCTGGGAGTTCTTCAGTCCTGCACCGGACCTGTCCACGTTCAGTGGCCACTGGTCCACGTTCTGTAGCTTAGGTCCTGGATCTATAGCCTGTCCGTGAGACTATGGGTCTCCCCAAGGTTTCTCACTTTTTCTCACTGGGTTTTCTTATGAGTTTTTCTTCTCATGCAGGAGGGTCTGTTGGACAGTTACAGTAGTGTCCAACTAGAAGGACTGTGGTGATGATCCAGGACACTTTAACATTCCACAACATGTATCACATACATCAACATGTATGACATTTCTCAACATGTATGACATTTATCAACATGTGTGACATTTATCACATGTATTCTTTTTGTGTTTTAACAGTTGATTCTCTGATCTGTGTTGGTGATTTAAATGGTTTTGTTAAGTCTCTGAGATGACGCTGTTGTGATTTAGGGAAATACAAGAATAAGTTGTTGTTCACTCTGTGTGTGTCTCAGTGTGTCTCTCTGTGTGTATCTCAGTGTGTGTTTCTGTGTGTGTGTGTCTCAGTGTGTTTGTGTGGTTGTGTCTCATTGTACTGTATGTGTGTCTCAGTGTGTGTGTGTATCTCTCAGTGTGTATGTGTGTGTGTGTCTCCGTGTGTGTGTGTGTTGTCTCTGTGTGTGTCTCAGTATGTGTCTCAGTGTTTGTCTCAGTGTATGTGTGCGTCTGTGTGTGTGTGTGTTTGTTTGTGTGTGTGTATCTCAGTGTGTGTCCAAGAGAAGGAGGGACTTCTCTAAACAGATTGTCTAAATGAGAGTCAGGCTGTGGTCATTAGTCCTGAGTCTGTGAGTCTGCTCCACTCTGCGCTCGGACCGAAGACCCGTCTGCACCCTGCTCCTCCGCCTCAGGTACCGCTCTACTCTCCAGACTTTTCATTTTATTAAAGAAGGTTACGACTAAAGTTACTCCTGAGATTAATGAGGGATGTTCAGAAATCTTATTTTTCTAAATGTGTTTTTGTCATAAATTAACACCAGGTTTATTATAGATTAGTAAAAACAAAACATGTGAAATGTTTTTTAAAAAAGTGAAATGTTAAAAACAACCTGAAAATTCAAATGTGTTTTCTGACCCTGCTCCTTATGGACGATGTCTCTTTGATTTTCTGATCTGTGTTGGAGAATTAACAACTTTGTAAAGTCAGAGAGAGAGACCAGAGAGAGAGACCAGAGAGAGACCAGAGAGAGACCAGAGAGAGACCAGAGAGACCAGAGAGAGAGACCAGAGAGAGACCAGAGAGAGACCAGAGAGAGAGACCAGAGAGAGACCAGAGAGAGACCAGAGAGACCAGAGAGAGAGACCAGAGAGAGACCAGAGAGAGAGACCAGAGAGAGAGTCCGGAGAGAGACCAGAGAGAGACCAGAGAGCGAGACCAGAGAGAGACCAGAGGGAGGCCAGAGAAAGAGACCAGAGAGAGACCAGAGAGACAGAGAGAGACACCAGAGAGCGGCCAGAGAGAGGCCAGAGAAAGAGACCAGAGATCAGAGAGAGACCAGAGATCAGAGAGAGACCAGAGAGACCAGAGAGAGTGAGACCAGACAGAGCCCAGAGAGAGACCAGACAGAGACCAGAGAGAGACCAGAGAGAGACCAGAGAGATACCAGAGAGATACCAGAGAGATACCAGAGAGAGACCAGAGAGAGACCAGAGAGAGACCAGAGCCATTTAGTCTTTTTTCACTGCTGCTGTATTTCCAAAGGAGACGTTTCTTTTTAAAACAAGATAATTTTTCTCTGACTCTGGTTTAAGTCAGAATGAGATAAAAACACTTTTGACCAAATCTGAGACATTTTTGACTTATTTGTTTTCACTTTGTGCAAAGTGTTCTTCTAAAAACCTGGTCTAAAGACGTGAAAACTGTTGTTTTGGAACCAAAGAAGCATGATATTTCTGTGTTTGTAAAGTTACGTCCCCGGGCTTTAAATCTGACTATTTTGAATCAGAAACACTTCAACATTTGTTCCTCAGATTTCTGCAAAGTTTGATATCTTTAAAGTCAGTTTGTGGTTCAGAGACAAAACAACGACAGAATATAATATAATATACAGTACAGAGCAAAGGTTTGGATACCTTCTCATTCAAAGAGTTTTTTATTTTCATGATTATGAAAATTGTAGATTGACACCGAAGGTATCAAACCTACGAATGAACTCATGTGAATTATGTACGTACTAAAAAAGTATGAACCAAGTGAAAATATGTGTTATATTCTGGTTCTTCAAAGTAGCACCTTTTGCTCTGATACTGCTTCACTCTTGGCATTCTCTGGATGAGCTTCAAGAGGACCTGAAATGGTTTTAACAGTCTTGCCGCCACAGTGGCTGAGTGGATAGCACTCTCGCCTCTCAGCAAGAAGATCCTGGGTTCAATCCCAGTCGGACCAGGGAGTGGAGTTTGCATGTTCTCCCCGTGTCTGCGTAGGTTTCCTCCAGGTACTCCGGTTTCCCCTACCAGTAAAAACATGTCCAATAGTTCTGGCATGCGCCTCCTGTTCGGCGACACCTCTCCCATCTTTGTGTGGAGTGAGAGGACAAGTGCCCAAAAATAACAATTGTAAACCGCTTTGTGACTCTGGTCTGTGAAAGGCGGTATATAAATAAAAATTACTTACTTACTTACTTACTTGAAGGAGTTCCCATGATGCTTAGCACTTGTTGGCCCCTTAACTCTGTGGTCCAGCCCCAAAACCATCTGGACTGGGTTCAGGTCCGGTGACTGTGCAGGTCATGTGGCCCAGCACCATCACTCTCCTTATTGGTCAAACAGCCCTTACACAGCCTGGTGTGGATCTACAGTCAATAGTCATGGAAAGAACTCAGTGAAGGAGAGAGGGTGTCCACACTTTTGCTCTGCACTGTATGTATAATATAAATATAATCCATCCATCCATCCATCTTCTTCCCCTTAATCCGCGACCAGCCCCTCACTGATCCTCCTGCAGGTGCTGAGTCCACATGAGATCTTTCAGTGGGGGCTTCAGGCAAAGTGGGGTTGATGACACTCCCACTGATGACAGCAGGAATCAGTGGGAGTCGTGAAGTAGGTCTTATGGTGGGCTCAAACCCACAACCTTCAGTGCTCTACCAACTGAGCTACTGTCGACCACTCTTTATTATAAATATAATGATGTAATATAATATAATATAATATAATATAATATGATATAATATTTATAATATTAACATGTCCTCCTCCTTCACCTTCTCTGTGTCAAGAGAAAATATTATTAGAGAATAATGATAATTATGGAATAAATGTTGTATTTTTATTCATGTGCATCAACAACAAAAAGGTTAAAGGAGGATCCGCCCTCTCCACTCTCTGCTCTGATTGGACGAGCATGAGTGGGAGGACCACCTGCTCTAACCTCCTGCTGTGACCCCCTGCTCTAACCTCCTGCTGTGACCTCCTGCTCTAACATCCTGCTGTGACCTCCTGCTCTAACCTCCTGCTGTGACCTCCTGCTCTAACCTCCTGCTGTGACCTCCTGCTCTAACCTCCTGCTCTAACCTCCTGCTCTAACCTCCTGCTCTAACCTCCTGCTCTAACCTCCTGCTGTGACCTCCTGCTCTAACCTCCTGCTGTGACCTCCTGTTCTAACATCCTGCTGTGACCTCCTGCTCTAACCTTCTGCTGTGACCTCCTGCTCTAACCTCCTGCTGTGACCTCCTGCTCTAACCTCCTGCTGTGACCTCCTGCTCTAACCTCCTGCTGTGACCTCCTGCTCTAATCTCCTGCTGTAATCTCCTGCTGTGACCTCCTGCTGTGACCTCCTGCTCTAACATCCTGCTGTGACCTCCTGCTGTGACCTCCTGCTGTGACCTCCTGCTGTGACCTCCTGCTCTAACATCCTGCTCTAACCTCCTGCTCTAACCTCCTGCTGTGACCTCCTGCTCTAACCTCCTGCTGTGACCTCCTGTTCTAACATCCTGCTGTGACCTCCTGCTCTAACCTCCTGCTGTGACCTCCTGCTCTAACCTCCTGCTGTGACCTCCTGCTCTAACCTCCTGCTGTGACCTCCTGCTCTAATCTCCTGCTGTAACCTCCTGCTGTAACCTCCTGCTGTGACCTCCTGCTCTAACATCCTGCTGTGACCTCCTGCTGTGACCTCCTGCTGTGACCTCCTGCTCTAACATCCTGCTGTGACCTCCTGCTGTGACCTCCTGCTGTGACCTCCTGCTGTGACCTCCTGCTGTGACCTCTTGCTGTGACCTCCTGCTGTGAACTCCTGCTGTGACCTCCTGCTGTAACCTCCTGCTGTGACCTCCTGCTGTAACCTCCTGCTGTGACCTCCTGCTGTGACCTCCTGCTGTAACCTCCTGCTGTGACCTCCTGCTGTAACCTCCTGCTCTAACCTCCTGCTGTGACCTCCTGCTCTAACCTCCTGCTGTGACCTCCTGCTCTAACCTCCTGCTGTGACCTCCTGCTCTAACATCCTGCTCTAACCTCCTGCTGTGACCTCCTGCTCTAACCTCCTGCTGTAATCTCCTGCTGTGACCTCCTGCTCTTACATCCTGCTCTAACCTCCTGCTGTGACCTCCTGCTCTAACCTCCTGCTGTGACCTCCTGCTCTAACCTCCTGCTGTGACCTCCTGCTCTAACCTCCTGCTCTAACCTCCTGCTGTGACCTCCTGCTCTAACCTCCTGCTGTGACCTCCTGCTCTAACCTCCTGCTCTAACCTCCTGCTGTGACCTCCTGCTCTAACCTCCTGCTGTAATCTCCTGCTGTGACCTCCTGCTCTAACATCCTGCTCTAACCTCCTGCTGTGACCTCCTGCTCTAACCTCCTGCTGTGACCTCCTGCTCTAACCTCCTGCTGTGACCTCCTGCTGTGACCTCCTGCTCTAACCTCCTGCTGTAATCTCCTGCTGTAATCTCCTGCTGTGACCTCCTGCTGTGACCTCCTGCTGTGACCTCCTGCTGTGACCTCCTGCTGTGACCTCCTGCTGTAACCTCCTGCTGTGACCTCCTGCTCTAACATCCTGCTGTGACCTCCTGCTGTGACCTCCTGCTGTGACCTCTTGCTGTGACCCCCTGCTGTGACCTCTTGCTGTGACCTCCTGCTGTAACCTCCTGCTCTGACCTCCTGCTGTAACCTCCTGCTGTGACCTCCTGCTGTAACCTCCTGCTGTAACCTCCTGCTGTGACCTCCTGATGTGACCTCTTGCTGTGGAGTTTCTACATCTTGGTGGATCATAAAGGCAATCGGTCCTCCCAGTCGTCAATCATCCTGGTGAATTGTGCTCGTCCAAACATTTACTCCATATTTATTCCATAATTATCATTATTTTCTAATAATATTTTCTCTTGACACAGAGAAGGTGAAGGAGCAGGACGTTTAATATTATATTTTATTATACGGCTCCTCACAGCAGCAGTAGAATGCTCCATTGATTTGAATGTAATTTCAAAACGTTCTACCGGTCATTATTTCTTATAACGGACCTCTCAAAACAATAATGACCGCTGCCCATGGCAACGCACTCTCTGCTTGTATTTCAAATGCGTGGATAACTCCAAGTAGTTCCGGCCACTCCGGAGCTAGCCACGCTCATTAAACGCAAATGCCAATCAATCAACGCAATTAAATGTTAATCGGAGAAAACTTATACATATACATTCTTCACACACGTGCACAGAGATTTTCAGATTTTACTGGTCTTGTCTTCATGACAAAAATACTATTTATCTGCGCCAAAAAGCGATCATGAAAAACCCGGAAGTAGTTCCGGCCACTCCGGAGCTAGCCACGCTCATTAAACGCAAATGCCAATCAATCAACGCAATTAAATGTTAATCGGAGAATACATTATACATATACATTCTTAATACAAGTGCACGGAAGTTTTCAGAATTTTCCGTTTCCGTTTTCATGACAAAAACACTGATGTAATGCAAGAAAAGGCGATCCCGAAAGACCCGGAAGTAGATACCGGCACATTTTAGGACACATTTCCAGAGGATTGAATTATGGATTTAGGTTAGGTTTCTTTATGGGTCACTCACCGCTGATGTTCAGAATTCTTTGTTCAGTTTTCATGCAGTTCCAGGGAGTTCTAGTTTGGAAGTTGCTAGCCTAACTGTTGCTAGCATAGCCACGGGAAAGCCTTTGGGAACTATTTTATTTTCTGTCATTAAATAAACCTTTTGGCATTCCTAAAAGTGGACTGAAGTTTATGTTGTGTGTTCTGTTGGTATAAAGCTGTATAATAAGCGGGATAACGTATAGTACGCAGGTCATTATCGGAAAATAAGTACCTTCAGGGCGAAGCGGACCCCTCCGCGTCGGGGTCCGCTTCGCCCTGAAGGTCGTTACTTATTTTCCAATAATGACCTGCGTACTATACGTTATCCCTTACATATTATATTCTGTCGTTAAACGTTATGTCTGAACCACAGACTGTATGTTGGTCTCAGTGGTGGAGTGGTTAGCACCTGCTTCACAGAGGGAAAGTTCTGGGTTCGATTCCTCCTCCAGACCTTTCTGTTTGGAGTTTGCATGTTCTCCCTGTGTCTGCATAGGTTTCCTTCAGGTGCTCCGGTTTCTCCTACCACTAAAAACATGCACAATAGTCTAATTGTATGTATATATAGTACCTCATATATATTTCATGAACCTTTTTATAATATTGTAATGTTTAACAATGAGAAGAGTGAAGTTAGAACCTGTTTCTAGTTTTTATATCTGCAGAAACATGCTTTAATGTTGATGGTAACGCTCAGACACATGGTCTCAGGGCATGGACTATTGTAACAGCTGCTTACATGTCTTCCCGGTGGATCATCAAGACTATTGGTCCTCCCAACTGTCAATCATTTTCAAAAAGTGGAGAGGGCGGTTCTCTCCTGACATTTGGGACCATCCTCCTGAAACCTTGAAGACCATGTGTTTCAGCAGCTCTGGTCTCATGCACAGAGGCCTTTATCTGAAGTGTGCTCATTATTCTGTATATTTGTTTCTGGAACTGTCTGTGAACTATTGGTACTCTATCTTTTTAATTGTGAAGCGCTTTGTGATCCTGGGCTGTGAAAGGTGCTATGTACTTTACTTTCTTCGTTATTCACTGCCTCAGGTTTTACCAAAACTGCTTCAAAATTGCCAGAAAAGATCCAAATACAAAAATTCAAGTAAAGAACAAACTAACATTCACAGTCAATTCTTCACAATCATGTGACACCACTCTATACCAAACATACAATAAACAGAAACACAACACAGGCCCCAAACACTCCGACCATACACCCCTTTGCCCCAAATACATGTAGTAGTAGTAAGTAACGTTTATTTATATTGCGCATTTTACAGACCAAGGTTACCCAAAGCGCTTTAAAATGTTCAGAGTCAGATATTGTTCCAATCATTCCACACATGGTGATGACAGAAGCGGTTCCAGAACTCACTGGGCCATCAGCTCCAACCAACACCATCCATTCACTCTCTCATTTACATTCAGACCTATTGTGCATGTTTTTAGTGGTAGGGGAAAACGGAGCACCCGGAGTAAACCAAGGGGAGAACATGCAAACTCCACTCAGAAAGGCCCTGTTCCGACCGGGACCTAACTTGCCTAACCCAGGACCTTCTTGCTGAGAGGCGAGAGTGCTATCCACCGGCACGCCCATGATAAACACAATGGTAGTACTGAAAACAGTAGTCAAAAGGAGTAGCTCCAATCACAATCGTTAAAATTCTATGTGTGAGGAGTATCCTGATGTTGGAAAAGACTCTGGATGTGATCATGAGGAGAATCTGTGGATGATTTGTTCATAACCAGAGCTGTTCTGTAATTCACCACTTCATACGACTCTAAGTTAAATGTGTTAAAAACAGTGTAATCGTTATATTTGACTTTATGAACATTTCTAGCTGATAGCGTAACTAAAGTAAAAGATTTGTTTGTAACAATTTCCCCAAATTTCTATACAATCATTTAAGTATGACATTGTGAACGATACAAAATAAATAAGGCATTTTGATTGAACCTGGAACGACATATCTTCACACCAACGCACTACATCTCTTCACACCAACACACTACATCTCTTCACACCAACACACTACATCTCTTCACACCAACGCACTACATCTCTTCACACCAACACACTACATCTCTTCACACCAACGCACTACATCTCTTCACACCAACGCACTACATATCTTCACACCAACACACTACATCTCTTCACACCAACGCACTACATCTCTTCACACCAACGCACTACATCTCTTCACACCAACGTACTATGCTACTTTTGATCGCAGGTAATTTATATGAGGTTTCCGAGAAAGTTTTTGATCATCGATTACTCCCAAAAACACATTTTGCTGAACCCTTTCAATGACCGTATCAATTTGTACCGTTTATGTCTGTGGTCCGGTTTCCAAATGGCATACGTCGTGTCTTCTTTAAGTTAAGTGATAATTTATTTAGATCAAACCAGTTTTTAAATGTATACATATTTGATTGAGAATATTCTCCAAATCTGTACCAGAACATAATATCGTAGTGTCATCCACAAACACTAATATTGTCATGACTCTGGAACATTGCAGATTTCGTTGATGAATAGAAACAATGTTGGCCTACGGATAGAACCTTGAGGGACATGATGTTACAGAGAGAAGACTTGTGTTGGTCTATCTGTACAAACTGCTGCCTGTCTCCCAAGTAACTCTCCAACCATTTCTGTGGCATTCCTCTGATGCCATAGTTGCCCATTTTATCTAATAGAATATGGTGATCAATTGTATCAAATGCCTTTTGTAAATCAATACAAATTCCAACAATAAAGTTGTTTTTTTCTATTCTTGTGTTTCATGAACCTGGCCAGTAGGGGGCGAATGAGCAGAGGTGGACAACTTAGTTTTTCTCCCATTGAAAACCATGTAAAGTCTGTTTTGGGGTCAAAAGACTCTCCTCCTGTGCGGTGTACGGTTGTTGTAACAGTCTTAATCGGGGACACTCAATTCTAAGGGAGTACTAAAAAAATATTTCTCAAAAGAGTCTTGATTTTGGGCATTTTAGGAAAAAAACAGAAGAAATTGCTGCGTTTCATTGGGGTGGCCTGCAGGGGGCGCTTATCTGGGAAAGCCTTGATCCACCTCGCCCGCCTCATTCCAGTGATCTTTTTCAAAGTGTCCTCCTTTATATGAGACCACAGTTGGAACATGAAGAAATCTCGTCTTTCTCTCTATTTATAACTATATTACACCGCACAAAAAGATGGCATTTTGACAGCGCTTCTTCTTCTACTATATCTCGGTGTATAAACCCGGCAGACTGCACCGCCAGGGTACGTAATATGAAATCCAAGAATACAATTTATAATCTCTTCAACCATTTCTAAAACCATATTGACTGAAAAAAATGTTATAGGATTTTTTTTTTTTTTTATAAAATGTAGTAGTCTTGAATTAAATATTTGTTCTAGAATTTTTGAAAGCTGGGGTAGAAGGGATACTGGGCGGTAGTTTGCGAAGCAGTGTTTATCGCCTGACTGGAATAGAGGAATATCTTTGGCTATTTTCATTAGAGTGGGAAATTGTCCGTACTGAAATGACAGGTGGCAGAAATGTGTTAATGGTTTCATGTCGATATCATTGACATCCTTTGAAGTTTTGCTGCTACATTGTTTTATGGTCACCAAGACCTCGTTCTCATCAGTGGGAGTCAGAAACATAGAATTTGGATTCCTCTCAAACGAAGTATGCACCGTATCACTGCCCGTTGGAATGTTCGCTCGGGTCCAATATTCACAAAAATCTATTAAATGTTTCTACAATGTCTTTTTCCACATTTATTACCTGATCATTCTCTACAAAATACTCTGGAAAACAACAGCCACTTGCATTGCTCCCAATTATAGTTTTCAGTACCTTCCAAATATAATTCTCCGTACTACAACTATAAGTAACTTTGCATAAATGTCTCAGAATACTTGTTTATTTATTTTTGTATTTTCTGTAGTTCAGCCTCAATACTTAAGGAATTTTTTTATGTAAATTGTTTTTCGTTTTGTTATCCAAGGAGTATTTGATTATTTTTTTTCCGGCATTTCCTAACTGGACAGTATTTGTCATAAAGTGACATTATTATATCCATAAAATATGGATTGTCCCCAATTGCTTGTCCCTTAGCTTGGAGTTGGATTGGAGTTGGATTGGAGTTGGATTAGAGTTGGATTAGAGTTGGATTGGAGTTGGATTGGAGTTGGATTGGAGTTGGAGGATCCAGAGGCTTCACTTTGTTCCCGTCGTGGAGCAGGATGAAGTGAATGGCACTGGAATAATGAGGAGTATTATGGGATTGATGGAGAGGATTGGGATCACAAGACATTCCGGAGCAGAGCGTCCTCACAGAGATCATTGTGTGTCCTTCATTAGCAGAATCTAATTTGGCTGCGGTCACACTGCAGAGTCCAGGGAAGTGCTTTCACGTGGGAGCGGACGGAGCTGGTTAGCAGGCCACACCCACAGCAGCGACTCTCTGTTAAAGGAGCAGTATGTCACAGGTGGGACTAGGTTCTTTGGACCCGGTTATGAAAGAGACCACTGGATAAAAAAGCAAGTTAAAAAGAGTTATCATAAGTAAAAGAATAAAAAACAATAAAAACCTGAGCTAAAAACAGAGGCTGAAATAGGCTAAAAATCCTTCTCTTGGCCATGGCCTGGGCCTTCTCACTCTCCGGCTTCCTCCTTCCCCTTCTCCCCCTCACCTTCCTCCTCCCCTTCCCCATTTCCGTCACGTGGGGAGCTGGGTTGTCAAACATTAAAAACACACAACAAGAAGTCTTAAATCACATTAAGCAAACGTTAAACCACCACCCTTTTTGCACCCACCGACATTTACAAATCTGTCCAAAAGGGGTACTGCAGCCTCTCCCACTCTCCCTGACTCAGGTTGCCAGATATGCAGACGAATCCAGCTGGGACCATAACAGCTGACAAGAGTTTAGTCAACAACAAATCTATAACCAACACCTTTTCACAGAGATAGAAATCCTGGTTTTATTCCTCGTTTTGTCGTTAATGATTTGAGAATCATAACAAGACCTGTTTTAGTTCTGCGCCACATGATACTTTACCAGTGAGATTAACTCCACGCTGTGAGTTCTGGTAGCCTGACTCTCGCCAGACCCATGTAGTTCACTGCACTTCACACATGAGTCTGGTACTGAGCCATAGTGGTTGGATTTCATAAGGCAGGGTCTTGTAAAAAAAAATCCTTGTATGTGATTGGATAGACCACTTGTCCGTTATCTTGAATGAAGTCTGCTTTCAACCACTCACATCGAAGCACACGGCTCCCATAGGTTGCCAAATCCCAGCCAGATTTTCCAACCCAAAATCAGCGAGAATACCCACACAAAAAAAACACTCAGAATTATTTTTTGGCTAAAAACATAATGTAATCAACCGGGGCTATCATGATTCTGTTTATTGTCTTTCTGTTTATTTAATACCTACAAGTCTCTTGGAAAAAAATATGCGGGAACCACCAAACCTGGCAACCCTGCTGCATAGTGTGTAAACAGGAACACTGAACCAGTGCTTCAACCAAACTTTACAGGAACATTTGACTCTTAAAACACACATATATCAACATAGAACCATCTACATCTCGCCTCAAATTGCATTAAAAGTGACATCCGTGTCTTAATTTGATCGTATTTAGTCTTTTTAAAAAGATTCGCAGACTTTACGTCCGCCATCTTGGATTCCTCTTGCTGCTGCATGAGAGAAGCTTGAGAAGGCAGCGCAAACCCCACTTAACACCGGCAATCCTGATTGGTGGATTAAAAAATAATCTGGGGAAGGCGTTCGCTATGGCGTCGATACCAGACCCATGTGGTTCAGCCAAACGCCTCTGGTGGAGCATGGCGGAACTACAAGGGTCTGGCAGAGCCAGGCTAGAGTTCTGGCGCCCGGATCACGGACTTTCTGATTGGTGAAACGGTGGAGGGCGGTACATTGAAATGAAAACAATAACAAGATTTAGGGGCTGGAAAAGTAATTTAGAAATTCAAATATCTCTGAACTACTGTTATCAGTTAAAGAAGTATTGGAAAAGAGCAGTTTATTAATATGACAGATTAGGGCCCTTTAATATTGACAGATTAGGGCCCTTTAATTCTGACAGATTAGGGCCCTTTAATGATGACTTTAAGGCAAGTTTATTTGTATGGCACAGTTTGTGGCAACTCAAGGCTGAACAAAACAAGGCTTTAAAATCATAAATAATCACATTAAAAAGAGAGAAGATGAAATCCCTCAGACCACAACAATGGGACAATGTGGCGCCCCCTGCAGGTGAAAGCCAGAGCCAGTCAGACCTTTGAAGCTAAGCAGGACGGAGCCTGGTTAGTAGTGTGATGGGAGACCTCTGGAAACACCAGGTGCCACAGTGAGGCGGCTGTAAAGAGCCAAACTGTGGTTGTGTCCTTAGGCAAAACACTTCCCCCACAAGAGTCTGGTGTGTGTGTGTGAATGGTTGGTGGTGGTGGGAGGGGCACAGACTGGTTGCCTTGCTTCTGTCAGTGTGCCCCAGGGCAGCTGTGGCTACTGTGGGAGTTTATCACCACCGTGTATGGAGAGAAAAAATAATGATGTGAAGAGACTTTGAGAGGCTGAAAAGAACTATATTAAACTAATGCGTTATTATTATTATTATTATTATTATTATTTATATTAAATGTATTTCGTACAGTTTGCTTCTATCTTTTCGAACATGGATCTTTGGCCTGTGTCACATCAGATCAGCCTTTTCAGACCAGACCTGATCCAGTCTCAGCCCAAACAGTCCAATAGTGACTCTCAGGGCTGTTTGAACTGATTCTTTTTCCTGATTCTTCCTGTTTGGACAAAGACAACGTTTTTGTTATCAAACTAAAAAGCAGGAACCTTCTATGACCTCCGTGGATTTTTATCAGTGGTCTGAAAAAGGTGCTCTCTGGCCCCCTAGTGGACATGTAGTGTCAGTGCAGCCCCCACTGAGTCTGTGCTCAGAGTCTGTGTTCATGTTATACATCATTGTAAAGATGATTTTATAAAGTAAACCACCACAGAATGTACTTGACCATAAACATTGAACCCTGAATGTGAAACGTACACCGTCACATGTCTCTCTGTTCCTCCTCAGGCAAACACTGACCATGAACCTCCTGGACTACCCCATCCCAGAGCTGGATGTGACCCTGCAGGAGGTGGGCCGTGTGCTGCAGCTCACACTGCCTCCTGACCTGTACCTGGAGTATAAGAGCACACTCCACCAGCAGAGAGAGCTACTGCAGGACATCCAGCAGAAGCTGGGCTGCAGAGCGGCCGGTCAGGAGAACTGGGTGACAGAGCAGTTTAAGAAGGCCTTACTGTCGTGTGATGACCCCCTGCCCACCTCCACCGCTCTGCCTGTGGTGCTGCTGCCCTCCAGAAAGAGCTGCTCTCAGCTGAGCAGGGCCGCTGCACTGCTGTGGGCTGCAGCCACAGTCTGCACCGAGCCCATGCTCCTGGAGGGAAACGCAGCCACAGAACGAACACAACAGTCTGAGGCCTTCTCCTCCTGCAGGCTGCCTGGAGCCGCACAAGACCAGTTCAAGGTACAGGCCTTTAGCAGAGGACGCTGAGAGAGCTTTATTTACTGACGGTCCCTGTGCTCCTAGGTTTACCCGGACAGCCTCCATGCCATCGTCACCTGTGCATCTGGAGTGTTCTCTGTGGACATCCTGAAGCGTCCCCGTCCTGGGGGGCCCCTGTGTCCCTGCTCTTTCAGTGACATCTACAGTCAGCTGGCTCAGGTGCTGGCTCATCCCCGCACTGAGGAACACAGCGGGGCTTTGACGGTCTGTGGTCTGTCCAGTCTGGAGCGTAAGACCTGGGCTGGCATCAGGAAGAAGATCCTAGGACAGGGGCCTGAGGCCGCAGGTGCCCTGGAGCTCATGGAGAGTGCTGTGCTCACACTCAGCCTGGAGGACAGCGATGCCCCTTCAGAGCTGGCCAACATCCTGAATGCAGTGAGGCTGGGAGCAGAGGGAGCGCCCTGCCTCAGATACTACGACAAAGTAAGAGTTAACCTGCACTCGCATTACTGTGATTCCATGTTTCAGTTTTTAACCTTTGGCTTTTCTTTTCAGGTGACTAACCTGGTTGTGTTCCGGGACAGCACAGCTGGGATGTTGTTCGAGCACACAGGAGTAGACGGGATGGTGGCCTGTCTTGTGACTGTGGGGGTTTATAATCTGTCTGAGACTGTAGATTTCAGTCAAGTCAATGGTGACACTCAAAACATGAATGGATGTGCCACTCCTCTTGTTCCATCGTCTTTAAAACTGTCCTTGCAAGGCGTCAAACATTCACAACCAAGTCCAAACCAAAAAATCACTTACCCCATTCTATCTTTCGACCTGCCCTCCTACCCTGATGCCCTTGCCACCCTCAGTGAATTCAGAGGCATGTTTGATGCTTGGATCACCTTCTCGCTGCAGCTCTCCCTGAGACAGACTCACGGAGAGTCTGCTTTCAAACACATCCTGGTCACGCCCACTCATATGCGCCACTACAAACATGGCCGATGTGACCCCACCTACTCCATCACCAGTCACTCACGCCGGTTGATTGATGCGATAGTCTCCCGAATGAAGACAGAGAAAGAACTCCAGTGTAGCTCTGAGCTCTTACAGCTGTTCCATGTTGCGTTTCTGGAGCACAAAGCCCTGATCAAAAACACAAAGAACGGTCGAGGTGTGGGCCCTCATCTGGCTGCTCTGCGGAGGTCCCTGCCCCCGGACAATCCTCTGAGGAGGTTCTTCGACCCTTTCGGCTGCCCCTCTGTGTATCTCTCTGGGACACTGCTGGACGGTGTTGAGTGCACTGTCGGCAACGTCTATGCTCAAAACCAACTATCGGTGACATACTTTGGAAAGAAAGACAAAGTTCGCATCATGCTCAACGCAAAAGGGACATTCACACACACCTTAGAGAACCTTAAGGAAAACCTGAAATCAAATCTGAAGTTACTCCAGCTCATAGCACTTAAGTATTCCATTGCAGCTCAGATGGGTGCACTCGACTCTCTCCTGCAGAAAAGTCAAACTGATCAAATGAACGGAGATATTTTTTACACTGATAGTTCCAAAGTTGGCCGTAGCAATCATAAATCTCCTGGCTACACCATGATAATCCATGGAGGTGCCGGAGAGGACATGATGCTGAATCCCTCGGTCGTTGGGGTAATTGAATTTGCTTTAGAGATGGCTTTAAATGTTGGCTCTCAGGTTCTTCAACAAGGTGGAAAGAGCATAGATGCAGTGCAGAAGTCAGTGGAAGCGCTGGAGAACTGTTTCTTGTTTAATGCTGGAAAAGGCTCCGTATTCAACCAGGAAGGCAAGCACGAACTGGAGGCTTGCATTGTAGATGGCAGGACAATGAAGTCTGGATCAGTTGCGTGTGTAGAGAATATTAAGAATCCCATCAAAGCAGCTAGAAGTGTTATGGACCGATGTCAGCATGTTTTTCTTGTAGGGCAAGGGGCAGAGGAGTTTTGGCAAGGACAGGAGGAAAGGGACAAGCCAGTCGAGTCAAAGTACTTCCACACATACACAAGGCACGTACAGTTCACTGCAAACCTCAGCAGTGGCAACAACCAAAAGAATAACCACCCTCAAACTGTGGGTGCGATAGCTGTAGATTTCAGGAAAGATCTAGCTGCAGCAACCTCAACAGGTGGGCTGGTAGGAAAGTTAAAGGGGCGAGTTGGAGATACAGCAGTGGTAGGAGCAGGTGTTTATGCAGATGACAGTTTAGCTATCTCCTGCTCCGGAGATGGCGATGTATTTCTCAGACATTCAGTTGCACAAAAAATCGCTAGCCTTTACCACCACAAAGGGTATGGTCTCAGACAGGCGTGCAGAGAGGTGATGGATGAGAACTTGAAAGGAGTTTGTGCTGGAGTGATAGCTCTGGATCGGAAGGGTGGGGCTGTGGTCGAAACCAATGCTGGTGTGATGTTTGTCGGCTCCATGATAAACGGTGTACCGCGAGTAGAGGTGCTTAGACCAATGAAAACTGTCTCACACTCCATTTGGGAATCAGATGAGTTAGTGGCCTACTTGCACCCCAAACCTTGGACACCAGGTGCAACTATTCTGACCAGAAAAGCCTTGAGCGGGACTGAAAGCCTTTTCCGCTCTCCTCTGGCTGACTATGTGATCATGCTTGAAGGGGCCAAAACAGTTTCTAAGCTTCTGTGTCAGCAGTTAGCAGTCCAGCGCTGTTCTCTTGTGTTTTACCCGTCACCAGATCACCCAGCTCAAATCCGGCTGCTGCCCCTGCACGGTGCCTCACCCAAATGGCAGCCTCATCTTGCAGCCACCGAAGAATACAACACCTGTGACACAGGCGTTTGCACATCCAAAAATGGACCTGAGTGGACCACTGAAGAACTAAGCAAAGTCCAAGCTAAGATAAGAAATGGCTTACCTACGCCAAATGCCCCACCGTGCTTTGACTTCCATGGAGACCCCAATCATAACAACTTATTCAGCCGAATAGTCCGCGGGGAGCAGCAGCAGTGGAGAGTCTGGGAGGACAGCGAGCATGTGGCGTTTCTGACCCCGTACCCAAATAGTCCAGGGGTCACAGTTGTGGTGCCACGAAAACCCCTTCCCAGCGACATATTCAGCCTCGAGAACGCAGACTACAAGGGACTGATCTCAGCGAGTTATAAAGTAGCCAAGCTTATCCAAGAAGGGATGCAAGCGCGAGGGGTGGCCATGATCTTTGAAGGGTATCAGATTGACTATGCCCATGTGAAGCTGACTCCGCTGCTGTCTGCTCCAAACAGTAACAAACAAGACAAAGTGCAGCCGGAGTCCTTCAAAGCGTATCCTGGGTTTGTATCATCAGTCGATGGTCCGAGTGTGGATGAGGAGACCCTAAAAGCAACTCACGCAAAGATTACCCACTGCAGACCTCCACATTCCTGGCAACAGCCTCAGTCTCATGCAACCGTGGCCATCAACAGCAACTGGTACCGCAACCTCTTCCAAATCCAAAACACGCTCTTCCACAGCACAGTCGAGTATTTCCACAAAAACTGCCAGTACTCGTACGCCCTCACACCTTTGACAACTGACTCCATCTCTTCTCCCATGGGTCTCGGCTCAGACTCTGAACCTGTGTCGATAAACCTTTTGGGACATGATGTTTACCTGGCAGACTCTATGCAGTTTGTACTCGAGTACTTCCTGCGATTCCAAGAGGATCTTCCTGGGGCGTACTATATCTCTTCCAGCTTCAGAGGGGAGGATCCAGACTCCACACACTTGAACCAGTTCTACCATGTGGAGTGTGAGCTGCTGGGCAATATGGATCGTGCCATTTCTGTGGCGGAGGGATATGTCGCTTATCTGACCGCGGCGATGCTGAAAAAGCACTCTGACATCATCATGAAGGTGGCGGGCAGCCTCTCCCACGCCACGGCTTTACTCAGTCAGCTGGAGGGAGGAACTCCGCTTCCAAGAGTGACGCTGGATGAAGCTATTCCCATGATGCCGTCGGCGGACTGCCTGGAGTGGGTGCAGGAGGGCCAGCCACAGTTCGGCCGAAAGCTGACCCGGAAAGGAGAGCATGTTCTGATGGAGAGGTTGGGTGGGCCGGTGTGGCTGACGGAGATGGACCACCTGGCTGTTCCCTTCTACCAGGCGTACGTGGAGGGCTCTGGGAGAAGCAAGGCCAAAGCTGCAGACCTCCTACTGGGACTCGGAGAGACGGTGGGACTCGGAGAACGTCACACCCTGCCTGCCACAGTCCAGGAGGCCCTCAGACACCACGCTGTGCCCGAGGACTCGTACAGATGGTACCTCAGCATGAGGCAGGTGCAGCCCCTCCTCACCAGTGGGTGGGGCATGGGTACAGAGCGGTACCTGTGCTGGCTGCTGCGCCACAACGACATCCGAGACATGCACATCATCCCACGCATGAAAGGAACAAAGTACATGCCCTGAGTACAAAGTATCACGTCACTTGCTAACATGGCAGTAGACGCTGTTTCATTCCAGTATTTAGACACTTCTCAAATTAATTGATTAATTGAGACACTGAGTTTCTTCAGTGGCATTAAACTCCTCTTTCTCTACTTTTGAAGCTATGGGTCAGAACTGTGGAGGAAGTTTCAGTTAGAGTTGTTGAGAAGCAACGCGCTCATTGTTTATGGAGCTAAAATAAAAGATAAAATATTGAAAACCTGTGTCTGGGGGAAACAAAGTGTAATGAAATATAAGACACCGCTGCAAAGTCTGGAGCAGCCGATGAACAAGGATTTTTTTAAGATGTAGTGTCACCACTGGTTTGTGGGAGATTTTCCAATACAGTATATATTTAATTTCTCTTTGATCTTAAACAGGTTTGATGTCATGTTTGTCAGTAACAAACCTATAACCTTTTATTTTAAGAAGTTAAATTGTATGAAGCAAAGTGTGAGTTTAATAAAAACAAATATTATGAATTACTGTGTCATTATTATTCTATTCCCGTTTACATGAAGATGAAGAGATCCTCGTGCCACAGTGAAATGCCAGTGTTGCATTCACAGTTAGAGCAGAAGAACGAGGAGCACACAGCACAGGATAAAGGAACTATAACTCTATAATAAATAAGATCTCTATCTTTAGCTGAAGAAAGAAGCAAGTTTAAAACCTCAGGTGATGCAGACGTCAAACAGGATCAATTATTTAAGGGAGTAGAATAATAATAATAATGATGATAATAAGAGAATAATAAGATAATAAAGTCTGGAGCTGCAAGGATCAGTCACTGGTGGAGTTTACATCGGGAGGTGTTTACAGATGTGTTTATTGTACTTTAGCAGCAGATAATATGAATAAACAGTAGTAACAGCAGCAGCAGCAGCAGGTGAAGTGAGTGTGGAGCCTCAGCGCAGAGACAGACTCATGTCTGTCATAATAATCCACTGCAGTAGAATTACATTTTTTACAGATTTGTTTGAGCGTGTGCTTCCGTGTGTGACCAGCAGAGGGCCTCAGAGATCCACTCTTTCTCTGTACCAATCACAGTTTTTTCCTGTTGCTTGAACACAGTTTGCAAAATTTTGCTCATAGTCCCAAAACTCTACACACAAGAGAACCTGACACAACACTGGGACATAAACCAGATATATCTGTGTCAAAATGAAACTCCATTATCAAAACTCAAACTCTGCTCTCTAAATTAAACAATCATTCGTCAAGATGAAACTCTGAGGACAAAATGACACACACTTGCATCACATGAACACACTTTCAGATTGGAAGCAACACACTACAGTACTTTATATAAAACAGTGCACTCATTTTCACTGTTTTTATTCTGTTTATTAGTTAGTTTTCTGTGAAGCTCAATGGAACAATTTTTGGTCTCAGTAGTACTGAAAGGTTACAAACAATATCAACTCAATACAGCACAGCACTACAGTATAATTTACAGTACAGTACTACAATATACTGTACATCACAGTACAGTACTACAGTATACTGTATATCACAGTACTACGGTATACTTTACTGCATTTGTGTCAATGCAGTAAAACAAAAAAACTCGAATGTAAAACAAAGCAATTGTGCTTGTGTGGATTATGGATCATGGTTCATGGTCTAACTATTTCCACAAAGGGAAGTTGTTGGTGAACAGTTGCCGACCACCTCCAGATGTTCTTTTAGTCATTTTGTATAAATATGAAACCACAAATTGTTACTATAGGTTTAGTTTTTCTAACATAATTGTAAAATGTGTACAGTACTGTGACATCTCAGTTTCATGTACTTTACTGTCTTGTATGTTTCACAAAACTACATTTTTTTTCAAAAGGAGCAATAGCCAACTTGCAAAACAGTACATGTGATACAGTGCAGTACTGTAAATACTGTAGGTACAGTCTGCAGTAGAGCGTTGGAAACATGTTTCCAACTGAAGGTCCTGAAGGACCTGGTCTGGACTCTGCTTCCCTCAGTGTGAGGCCATGATTTACAGTTTTTTCCTGTTGCTTTAACACATTTCTCAAAATTTCACTCATAGTCCCAAAACTCTACACACAAGAGAAGCTGACACACACTGGGACATAAACCAGACACATCTTTGTCAAAATGAAACTCCATTATCAAAACTCAAACTCTGTTCTCAAAATTCAAACTCTGTTCTCAAAACTCAAACTCTGCTCTCAAAAATAAACAATCATTTGTCAAAATGAAACTCTGAGGACAAAATGACACACACATGCATCATGTGAACACACTTTCAGATTGGAAGCAACACACTGCAGTACTTTATACTTTATATAAAACACTAGTCTTTCATTTTCCACTGTTTTTATTCTGTTTCTCAGTTAACTTGAAGCTCAAAGTTCTTGTTCTCAACAAAGGTTTACCAACAAACAAAAATGAAAGTACTGAGAGGTTACAAAATACTAACTCAATATTGTACATCATAGTATACTTTACAGTACAGTAAAATGCAGTAAACAAAATATAAATAAAAATGTAAAACTATAGGCAATAGTGCGTGGGTGGCATTATGGATCCCGGCGTCTGTCTGGGTCTGGCCACAGGATCTCATCCACATCGCAAGCGATATGTTCTCCTGCTAAGCAACGGGGGAAGAAACTCCTTGTGTGTCGAATCCATCCATGGATGGACGTTACCTCAATGTCTCTGCCTCTTCATACACGCGCCATCTCCAAGCGGAAAAAAATTCCTCTATAGGGTTCAGGAATGGTGAGTAAGGAGGCAAGTAAACAACTTGGAATTGAGCATGGTGGGCGAACCAGTTGTGGACCAGAGCAGCCCGGTGGAAACTAACATTATCCCAGACAATCACAAACCTGGGCTGCTCTGGTCTGTCCCGTTCAAGTGCATCATGAAGTGCATCTAGAAATGCTAGTATTTGCTGTGTATTGTAGGGGCCTAGGTTGGCATGATGATGTAGTAACCCTCGAAGGCTTATGGCGGCACACAATGTGATGTTTCCCCCGCGTTGCCCTGGGACATGCACAATTGCCCTTTGACCAATTATGTTACGACCCCGTCGTCTAGTTTTGTTGAGGTTGAAACCAGCTTCATCAATGTAGATGAATTCATGTAGTTGTACAGCTCCATCCATGTCCAAGATTCTCTGCAACAACAAAATACATAGCATGAATGGCTGGCATTACTCAAAACACAGTACTACACACACACAGAGTCACACCCCTCCCTACAACACAAACACACCAGTGCCTTTTTCCCTCTTTGCATGTATGTGGTACTGGTACAATGGCACAGCTATTACTGTAATGAATTACATAAATTGCAATACAGTAAAAGACTGAAAAACTTACTTGTACATATTCTTGTCGAAGTCTTATGACCCTGACACTGTTCCTCTCAAACGGGACCCTGTACAACTTCTTCATTGTCAGTTGGTGCTTTGCCAAGACACGTCCAATCGTGGTGAGGCTTACTTCATTGATGTTTACAAATACTTGCCCATCTGCAATAATCTTTTGTTGTAGCTGGCGGAGAGAGATTGCGTTGTTTTCTCTGACAATTTCTACAATGGCAAGTTCCTGCAGTTGAGTGAACATGTGTTGCCGACCCCCTCCAAAAGGTCCTCTAGTCATTCTGTAGAAATATGCAACCACAAATTGTTACTACGGGTTTAGTTATTTTTTACAGCACTGTATACTGTTCACAGTACTGTGACATCTCAATGGTACAGTGCTATGTACCAAGCCAACTTGAAATACAGTACATGTGATACGGTAAAGTACTGTAAATACTGTAGATGCTGTAAAATACAGTAAAGAGTTGGAGACATACCTGTTTTCCAGTCTGAAGGTCCTTATGATGGATGCAACTGTGAACCGGCTCAGGTGTGGGTGGACTCTCTGGCCAGCTTCCCTCATTGTGAGGCCATGATTGATGACATGATCAACCAATGTTGCTCTAATATCATCAGATATAATGTTTTGTACATGGCCTCTTCGACCACGTCCTCCTCCTCTTGCTCCTTGTCTTCCTCTTCCTCTACCTCTACCTCTTGCTCTTCCTGCCTCCTCCATACTTGCAAAGTTCTAAAGAAGGCTGAAATGAGGCCCATTTATGTCTGACTGATGTGTGTCACGTTTTGTAAGTAAGTGTTTTCAGGTGTGTGTCTGAGTGTTTTCAATCACACAGTGTGTTTGGTATTTTGAATAGATGTGTTTTCCCAATGATAAACACAGGATTGCATTTATGAACAAAGTGTCTTATGTATGACACAGTGTGTAGTGAGCATGAGAAAGTGTGTTGCAGAAAGAGAAAGTGTGTTCCAAAAGGAGAAAGTGTGTTGTAGAAATGAAAGTAGAGTGCAAAGCAGTACTTTTGTTTAAGCAATGGTCAGTCTGTGTTTTAGGTTTAGAACAAAAGTTTCAGGTTCTGTAACTTTGGTCTAAGCGTCTGTCTATAGTGTTCAAGCAGTAGGAAAAAACTGTAATATCAACTCAATACTGTACATCACAGTACTACAGTACACTTTACATAAATACAAAATCTCTAATGTAAAACGAGGCAGTTGTACGTGAGTGGGATTATGGATCATGTTCCTGCTCAGACTGTTTCCACGATGTTCCTGCTGTTGGTGAACAGCTGTGGAGAACCTTGAGAAGGTTCTAGTCATTCTGTAGAAATAGGAAACCACATATTGTCACTATTGGTTCAGTTCTTTTTTTCACAGTACTGTATACTGTACACAGTTCTGTGACATCTCAATAGTACAGTACTATGTTCTTTACTGTATTGTATGTTTCACAAAACTACCATTTTTCAAAAGGAGCAATAGCCAAATTGCAATACAGTACATGTGATACAGTACAGTACTGTAAATACTGTAGATACAGTCTGCAGTAGAGAGTTACAGTACATGTTGGAGACATGTTTCCATCTGAAGGTCCTGATGCTGCAGCTGTGTCTGGACTCATGCTTCTCTCAGTGTGAGG